AAAAAAAAAAAAAAAAAAAAAAAATGGCTAAGATACTCAACATTACATTACATGTATTTTACCACAATTTTAAAACTTTTAAATGATACGTGAGATATACACATACAGAAGGGTACATAAAATGACTGTCCAGGTTGAATCAGAATGCAAAGACGAGCCCCCGTGGGCCCAAACCTTCTGAAGAAATAGAGCATCATAGCCCCTGCGAAGCCGAGCGTCCCTGCCTGATTTCACCGCATCCCTTAGAAGAAACTACCCTTTAGACGCCGTGTTCACCATGTCCTTGCTTTCCTTTACACTTTTGCCAGGCATGTTCTTAAACAATAGATAGTTCAGTTTTGTTCAGTTATAACCTCTACATACATAAAATCAATAAAGCAAATGCGACGTCTCTTCTGACACTGCTTTTTCTCCTGGTTATTTTTGGGGTAGGCATTTTTATTACTATTATTTGTTAAACTTGCATTTGTGTCATAGACTCTTTGGTATGTCTCATAGATTTCACAGTTAAAAATAAATACATACAGTGCTAAATGTAAAGGTAGAAGTTCTTAAAAATAATAAGGGGATCTAGGTAACTGTTTCTATAATCCTCAGCTGAGGAAGGACTTTCCAAGCGCCACACCAAAGACAGCCCCAAAGGAATAAGCCGACATGCTGGATGACAAAACAGTTAAAAACGTCTGTGGATAAAATATGCCTGAAGCAGAGTCATAAAGGCAAAACAAAAACTGTGAAAAGTATTCACAACATAAGGCAGAAGAGATTAACATCACCGCTATATGAAGGGCCCTTCCAAATCAGCTAAGAAAAGATGAACACGCTCCCACACTGCTGGTCTTGATATAAGTTAGTCCCACGGTTTAAGAAGGCAGTACACATTGATATATATCAAAAGTCAAAAGAAAAGTTTAGACCCTTTAACCTCGTAATCCCACTTTTAGGAATTTTTGCCTTAGAAAATAACCGGAGATGTGTACCAGCATCACATAGAGGTCCTTCCCAATCATATCTGTAATGAGGAAAAATGCAAGTGTCCTAAGTGCTAAACAACAGGGGATGGTTTGAGTTATCAAAACCATTGAAATCCTGTTTCAGGGAAATACTGCTGATATATGAGTTAACTTAAAAGCAGGTTATGCTCTGATAGACGGCTGATTGGGAAACAATGTGGTGCAGTCGCTTTGGAACACAGCCTGGCGGCTTCTTCTAGGGTCAAATATGCATTTACCACAGCACCCAGCAATTCTACCCTTAGGTATTCACCCACGAGAAAGGAAAACACAACCACACAAAACTCGGGCACAAATGTTCATCACAGCTTTCCTCACAGCAGCCCAAACTGGAAAGAACCCAATTGTCTGTCCGCTGGGGAGCAGTCATGCATACTGTGGAGGGCTGCTTGGCAACAAAAAGGAACAGACTTTCGGGTAAATCTCAAAAGCATCACGTTAAGTGAATGGAGCTAGACATAACAGGCTATGTACAGTGGGATTCCATTTATACAGCACTCTGGAAAAGGCAAAACCACAGTGTCAGGAAACTGACCAGTGTTTGCCAGGAGCCGGAGGTGGGACTGGAGGTCGACTGCCAATTGGTCAGAGAGAATTTCGGGAACGAAGGAAGCGCTGTTCCTAACCTTGATCAAGGCGGCGATTATACAGCTGTCGACACTTATCAAGCTCATCAAGGTGTCACTTAAAATTGGTGGATTTTATTATCCATAAATTATGCCTCAATAAAGCAGACTGTTAACAGTCTTTTTGAAAAGAATGTTATAAAATAACATGGCTGGGGACTCCCCTGGTGGCGCAGTGGCTGAGAATCTGCCTGCCAATGCAGGGCACACGGGTTCGAGCCCTGGCCCGGGAAGATCCCAAATGCCACGGAGCAACTAAGCCCGTGCACCACAACTACTGAGCCTGTGCTCTAGAGCCCGCGAGCCACAACTACTGAAGCCCGCATGCCTAGAGCTCGTGCTCCACAAGAGAAGCCACCGCAATGAGAAGCCCGCGCACCGCAACAGAGTAGCCCCCGCTCGCCGCAACCAGAGAAAAACCCACGCACAGCAACAAAGACCCAATGCAGCCAAAAATAAATTAATTAATTAGCTAACTAAAAAAAAAATAACATGGTTGGTAGGGCCTCAATTTTGTGTGAAAAAAACCAGTACAGGGCTTCCCTGGTGGCACAGTGGTTGAGAGTCCGCCTGCCGATGCAGGGGACACGGGTTCGTGCCCCGGTCCGGGAAGATTCCACATGCCGTGGAGTGGCTGGGCCCGTGAGCCATGACCACTGAGCCTGCGCGTCCGGAGCCTGTGCTCTGCAACGGGAGAGGCCACAACAGTGAGAGGCCCGCCTACCACAGGAAAAAAAAAAAAAGTACACATCTGTGTTGGTTAGGACTAGGATACGCTGGGTGGCAAACGCCCACAGTCTTGGTGGGTGAGCCAAACCACGCTTCTCAAACTCACGTCCCAGCCTAGAACAAGCTGGCCGATGGTCGCGGCTGCTCTCCCCTGCGTGCTGACTACAGCTGGCATCCGGGCAGCCTCCACCCTCTCGTTCAGAACCTGCAGAGTCTCTGTCCACAAGGCTGAGGATGGAGGAGCTCCAGCTCCCACCTGTGTCATCCTGAAATTAACATGCGTCACTTCTGTTCATTGCCCATGGGCCAAACAAGTCACGTGGCCCCAACCCAATGGCCAGGGAGACTGGAAACACGGGCCTCCAGTGAACGCTCGTGGCCTCTGCTGTAATCCTCCAAACACGCCTGCCCCCTCCTTCCTACACAGAGAACACACCCCTCGTCCCGTCCAGCACGGCCTCCAGCTCAGAGCAAGGGATCTCTGGGGACATGCAGTGGCCACTGTCTGGGCGGCTCCTCTTAACTCCAGAGCCTTGTGAACTAAAACAGTGGGTTATCCACCCTCTCCACACACACACATGAGATACAGGCATCAGACAACAACAGTAAGATTCCCATCTGGAGCCCATCAAGACACTTCCAAGTTCAAAGCCACCAGGCACACTTTGTGCATCCCCGTCTTGAGTCATTAGGCCCTCAGCCCTCTCTGCGCCGCAAGCCATGTTCCGGTGACCCCTCGCTCTGCCTTTTGGGGGTGTGCCTCTTTCTCTCCTATCTCGTTTCCCCTCTTGGCCGCATCCGGAGTGACTCTCCTCACTGCTCAGCCCACTGCCCGTCTCCAGGGAGGGTGAAAGTCCCCACGCCACCTCATCCCATTTCAAGTCTCCAGTCACCGAGGCTTCTGCGGGCCAGGAATGGGATTCCATTGGAATTACACTCCCTTTGGAAACCTAGCAGGTTCTGACCTGCTCGCCTCAGGTCTGTTCCACGTGCCAGTTACTACACCTGAACTTCTTCTTCCCAAGAAACAGTTCTCACCTACGCAATTTCCCTTTATCATCTATGGGCCTCTTTCTCTAGTTACTGGTTGAATCTATCTGAAACAGAGCTGGGAAGGCCAAATCCTCACTCTAACGTTCACCCAGCGAGAGATGTTGCTGGGTTTCTGGCCCAAAGCCTTTTAAACCCCGCTTGACTGTCAGGAATCAGGGGGCCCCCGAGTGTCCCCGCCCTGCTCTCTCCTCAACCTCTGACTCACCCCAACACCTTTCCATTCCTTCTGAGCTGATTTCCTTCCTGTCACCCTTGCCAAATGCAGCTGATGGCAGCAAAGCAACATTACCGACCCCTTCTTTCCCAACTTCTCCCCGGGAACCATGAACTCAGAAGCCGTTCCGTGCACCTTCCCAACCCTCATAGGAGGCTGGTCTGCAGATGGCTTACCTCTGCGGACGCGGATCTGTCTTTCCAGCCCCGGATGTCGGTGTCCCGGCCGCCTGGCCACACTCAGCTAGGCCAGCGCCCCCCGCCACGGGTCTGCAGTGGCAGCATTTCTCCTCCGTGTTGGTTTCTCTGTGAGTCAGAACAGGGAAGGCTGTGGAATGAGCCCCAGAGTTCAAAGGCTCCCCACTCTATAAGTTCACTGTTGGCTCCCACGTGGTCTGGCATGGCCTGATGGGGGGTCCGGGCCCTCCCGACGCAGCTCTGCCTCCCAAGAAGAGCACAGCAGTGATGGAGGTGGAGAGACCGTGTACGCAGCCTGGGAACTGGGAGGGTTCGCTGCACGCGCCCAGGTGTGTGTGCCTGTAAGCAGGCCATGTATGAAGGAGCTACGGCAGGCCTGCAACTCTCAACACAAACTAAACTCGCCTCCAGGGCAGGGCCCTACACTGAGAAGGAGGTGCTGAGAACAGAGTCCAAAATGGGCACAACAGAGACAAGAGGGGCCAAAAACTAGAAATGAAAGGTGTGGGAGTGAGGAGAACAGGAAGAAAGGAAGGGATGGAGGGAGGGAAGAAGGAGGGAATACAAGACCATTTTTTTTTAACGTTTCATGAAAACAGCAGAAAAGGAAACTAAAGATTATGATGTTCTGAAAGGCATTTCAGATAAAAATGAACAACAGAAAAGGTTACGGTTAAGTCCCATACCAAGTTACTGGAGAAATGAGAACACCAAGCAGTGCCCCTACGGATAATGAAGGCAGTGTTCCAGAAACACACACCACACAACCACAGCCAGAAACAAACAAAAAAAATGTATCCTAAAATTTTTGCATGAGTCAGCAAAAAAAAGAAAAGATACAAAAGAATAACAAATCAATATGTGAAGACCTCAGAAAAGATGTGCTGGAACTGAGGGAAGAATTAGGAAGAAGAGAAAAAAACGCATTTCAGAACGACAACCGCAGTAGAAGGAGCACAACACAATGAAACACTGTGAGATGATGCCTAAGAGAATCAGAAGTTAGAATGGAGGGAAATTGTTAAACAATAAAAAAATGGGAGAGAGAAGGAGGATTCAAGAGAAAGTGACGACTACTAAGTGAGATCTAACGTGTGCAACACCAGTCCCGCAGAAGGAGTCCAAGTGTTTAGTCAAACGCTGAACGCTGTAATTTAAAAAAAGAAAAAAACTTTCCTGAAATATATGAAAACTTGAAACAGCATTGGGTACCTGGACAAGTTGACCCAGAACAGCCAACAGAGAGGCATATTCTACAACATATTCTACGGCTGCCTTTGGGAATTCAGGCAAAAAAAGATGAAGTCACTTCCGGGAAAATCAGGCTGTCGTCAGACTCTCTGATGTGAGCACTTCCTGCCAGAAGCCCCAGGGGCACATCTAGACACCAAGGGCGGGAGCAGAGCGGGGCAGGTCCCGCTAAACTGCCTTTCAAGTACAAAGGTCGTAAACAGTTATCAACAGGCAAGAACTCCGGGACGTTATTCCCACATGCCCTCTGAGGACCCACCAGAAAACAGGTCTCAACCAACCAAGACAACCAGAGAAACATAATCCTAAGGTCTGACTGTGAGTACTAGATGGGTAGAACACATGGGAACTTACACAGTTAAGACCAGTGATGGACACACCAGATAGAGTATATTTGAGGGAAAGTGGGAAGAACATGGAGAAAATAGAATAAGCTTACTGACTGCCTTGTAGTTAAAGTCTGAGAGTAAAAGGATATTAATTCAAATCAGATGCTGTGCGCAGAGGATTGTAGCAAGTTTCAATATCGCTCATAGTAGGAAGCCAACAGACAAATAAAAGAGAGGACCAATATTGCGTACAGATATTACTGTAAAAGTAACAGTTGCAACAAAAATAGGAACCTTTCCTACGTACCAAAAAGATAAAGTCCAGTAAGAGAGAGAGGATATAAAAACCACACTGAGGGCTTCCCTGGTGGCGCAGTGGTTGGGAGTCCGCCTGCCGATACAGGGCACACGGGTTCGTGACCCAGTCTGGGAAGATCCCACGTGCCGCGGAGTGGCTGGGCCTGTGAGCCATGGCCGCTGAGCCTGCGCGTCCGGAGCCTGTGCTCCACAGCGGGAGAGGCCACAACAGTGAGAGGCCCGCGTACCGCGAGAAATAAAAAAATAAAATAAAAAAAAAAAACCACACTTAAAGACAAATTGTTTAAAACTCTTGCACGGGTGGGTGTAAATGTAACATAAAACACCATGCAGAACTGAGGCTAAACATATTGACCGATTGGTCTTAACTCACCTATAAATAGAAAACAGATTTTCAGGTTGGCTAAGAAAGGAAGCTCCAAAGCTGGAGTGACCGCCAGAGCCCGCCATCCAGGGAAAGTCTGAGGCGGAGGGAGCAGCTGTGCCGTAGGGGCAGATGCACGCGGTAGGTGTCCGCTCGTGTTCCAGTGTTCAAAGCTCGGAGGAGAGAGTTCCGATGACCTATTGCCCCACCACCACCCCATGGCTGGCGTAGACGACCAGTTCACTGCGTAAACGATTTCGTGGTCAGGAGCCCAGGCAGGCCCGCCGCGTAGGTCTTTTCCACGTGGCGTTGACAGAGGTCCCTCACTGGCATCCAGCTGGAGGACAGGCTGGCCTGGAGGCTGGGCTCGCAGGGACTCTGGACTGGTGTGTCTACACCTGGCTCTCCAGCACAGGGTCTCCACGGAGCCCGGCTCTGCGGCGCGTACACCCAGCTCTGCGGGCCCCCAGCGCCCGTCAGCCACACCCTGCCGGTGGCTGGGGCAGGCCCAAGTTCCCCAGAGTCAAGGGGGGGACAGAGACCACACTTCTCAATGAGATGTGTGTCCCAAGAATTCGTAGCTGTGTTTCACAACTAAAATGACCACCAAGGATAAACCATTTTTTTTAATGGTTACATACAGGGGAGAGAGCCTCAGTAAGGGTGATTATTACAAACAGCTGAAACACATAAAGTATCTTTAAATCCATGTGTTCCTAATTGGTTTTTTAATCCCTACTTGATCACCACTGGAAGATCAACTTAATCAGAAAACTGTTACAGGGACAAGGCAAGCATATATCCTGCCTTTCCTCTATAAAACGGCACCACCAGGTAGCCAAACACTGGGGAGGGCAACTTTCTCTCTGAGAAACACTTCAGCTAACAAATGAGGCAGGAATGGTAGAATTAGGATGTCACCAGTCTACAACCACTAGTAAAGTAGTGAATCCAGGCGCTGAGAATCAGCAGCTGCTAACACAGCAGAGATGGTAGGACGCCGCGCCTCCCACAGGGGGAATACAGTTTCCCCAACAAGTAAGGTACAAGGAAGAAAACACGGGCTGAGCCTTTAGATGAAAGATACTTGGGAGCTACATCAGGCAGTGTGACGTGGGGACCTTATTCAGATCCTGATTCAAACCATATTTTGTTCATTTTGACATTTAGGACACAATTGTAAACTGAGACTGGATACCTGCTGATATTAAGGAATGGTTGTTACATATGAAGTTCTAAACAGTGATATGGTCTTTTAAGTCACAACCTTTCAGAAATACACTCTGAAATATTTGTGGATGAAATTACACAATGTCTGGGATGAACAGGACGATTGTCCCAACAGTCTGGGAGGGAAAAAGTGGCGAGCGCAGAGATGAGACCAGACTGGTGTGTGCTGATCACCGTTGAAACAGGGTGCTGGGTGCCTGCAGGCTCATTACTCAACCTAATGTCATATACGTTTGACCCTTTCATAATAAAAGCTTTATGTATGTAAATTTTTGCACAACAAAAACTTATATATAGAAAAAAAGGCTGGAAGGATATAAATCGAAATGCTAGCTGTACACCTTAAACTCACACAATGTTATATGTCAATTGTATCTCAGTGAAAATGAATTCTAAAAAATGCTAGCCATAAATACTTCTGGCAGATGGGATTATAGATACATTTTCTTTTTAAATTGCTCATTACTCATCTTCTAAAATTTCTACAATGAACACACAGCACTTTAAAAATCTGGTAAAGAAAGATTAAACCAAACTGGCTCCCTCTCGCCCGGGCTCTGCAGGCGGGTGGGCCCCTTGGCAAGACCGAGCCAGGAAGCCATTTGGCTGCACAAGCCGTGGCCGTACAGGCAGATGTGGTTGCCTCCGCCCCACTTCTCTTCTGGGAATCGTGCCCGGGGAAATCATCTAAACCTGAAACGCCAGCCGCCCTGCCCGCTCGAGGATGCCCACGTCGGCGCAGTTACTGGGGTGACAGCTTGGCGTTGGGGGCCACATCCCGCGACAGGGGTCGTGTCGGTGAAGCACGGACATCATGGCGATGGGCCGCTGGGCAGCCACCAAAACGGAAACTGGTGGACTTAACGCTGGGTGAACCGAGGATGCACGTCTGTACGTCTGTCAGGAGTCCAGTTTTGCAAACACACGTGGAAAATGAGCGGAGCCCTTACCAGCTTCATGGGACACGCTGTGAGTATGAAGCGTGTTAAGATGCCCTGACCCTGGCCCCTCATGGGGAATCGGCTTTCCCTGAGATCCTCCAGAAGCCCTCAAACCCAGCCTGCTCTGGCCTGTGTCTCTCACATCCCCAGGTCAGCTTTGTCTTTTGCAACTCTCCCCTCTGCCCTCGGACAAGCCCCGCCCAGGCTGCAGTGGGGCACACTTCCACCCAAGGGTGGAGGCTGGTGGGTTCCACAGGGAGGGGCCCCTCCCACAGGCCACTCTTCCTGGCCCCTTCCTGTCTCTGCCTGCCCAGCCCCGGCTGCACCGCACAAGCACTAACCTCCCCTGCACCCACGGGCCCTCCCGAACAGGAGCCCCTTTACTGTCACAGGAACCTAAGCATATTTTCTTAAACAGAGACCATTATCTCTGAAGGAAGAATTTTGTTCCAGATTTAGAGTAATATTCTGTCCTCCTTACGTGTGCTGAGAATAAACAGACTTCCCCCATTTCTATCCCCCTCTTCCCAGGCCATAGAGCCCCTGAAGCTTAGGTGGGTGCTGGGCTGCCTGTATGGACTACACTTCCCAGCCTCCCTTGCAGCGTGGTGACCATGTGACTGAAACAGGATGTGAGCCAATGATGCCTGTGCCTTTCAAGGGAAGGGATGTGCCACCTCTCCGCCTCTCCTGCTGTCCTGCCGCCCAGTACTGTGGGCTGGTGCCGGGGACCGTCTCGGGTCACGCGGATGAAGGCATCAAACACCCAGGATGGAAGGAATCTAGGCCCTGCTCCATGAAACGGCCCTTTTGCTACAGACCCCTGACCCTCAAACTGTTACAGGAGAGAGAGATGATCGTCTCTCTGGTTTAAACCAACATTAGCTTGGTTTTGTTGGTGTTTTTAAGAAGCCGCCAAACCTCGATCCTAACCAATAAACTCGCCTGATTAAAATGCCCCCAAGACACCCAGAGCCAGCAGGCTGTCTAGTCAGATTCTCCCAGAAGCAGAACCTGAGGCAAGGATTCAGGTGCCAGAGCTTCAGGAAGGAAGTTCTCCCAGCAGAAACCAGTGTGGAGCAAGGGGAACAGGAGAAAGCAGCAGAAGCCCACCAAGGGTGCATTTCTGTCCTGGCCGTGGCCCGACCCCAGGGAGCTCTGCAGTGTCCGTCACACCTCTGAGTTTGTGCTGCTCCAAACGGGGAGCTGGGCTCTCCCACTGCAGCAGATGGGCCGGAGGTGCCCAGGGAGGCAGGTGTCAACTCCCAGGCGTGCCAGACGTTCAGGGCAATGCAGCTCTGGGGGCCTGAGGGCCACTCTCTGAAGCAGGTCTGAGATGTGAGTGGCCAGCTGCCAGGCCCAGGACAGTGGGGGGACCAGGTAAGAGGTTCCCTTGACGGCTCTGGCAAGGCGCCGACAGGGCTCCACACACAGAAGGAAGCCCCCCAGACCTTTTGCGATTCCCATCCTGTCAGCCTCTCCACCCTCCTCACACTGTGGCCCCAGACGAGGTGAGTAACGGCCCCACAGACACTTCCCTGGGACCCTTAGCCAAGTGTGCTGTAAGATGCCGCGACACTGCGGATTTGGTTGCCCAGGAAGCCATGCTGGCGTTTGCCCTGAAAAGGCAACAAGTCCCAGCACAGAGAGAATCAGAGAGGTGCAGCGACTTGCCCATGGCCACACAGCTGAAGTGGAGGGACTGAGGTGGGTGAGCCAGGGGAGGGGCATTGTAACGGAAAAGCCCTGAGAGAGCCCGGGAGAAGTAGACCCCAGATTCTGTGCAGAGACGGGACTGAGCTGATGGGGAGGAGACAGCGCCGCGGGAGGATCCCTGTAATGACTGCAGGTGTCACTTACCGAGCACATCTACGGACTGAAAACCTGACCTCGGTTAGCGCCTGCGTCCCCACCCTCATTCGCAGAGGTGCTCCCTCTGAGGTAGCAGACACTGAGGAGGATTTAGGTGCAAGGAAATCCTGGGAAATGCCCACAGGAAAGCGAGACGGGGCGTGTTCTCAACACAGTTCCCCTGAGCGCCTGGAGCTGCATCCAGCCGAGGCAGCTGGGGGCCGCGAGGGCCCAAGAAAGCTCGGGGGCAGGGGCGGCGGCGGCGGCGGCGGCGGCGGCGGCACCTACACAGGCACGGGCACCAGGGCGGGGTCTGCGAGGCGGGGCCGGGGCCTGTGGGGCGGGGCCGGGAGGGGGCGGGGCCTGGCACCGGGGCGGGCCGGGGCGCGGCCGGGTGGCAGGGGCGGGGCCAGGGCGGGGCCGACACTCTGCACCAGCTGAGGCTGGTACTTCCTTCTTCAGAGTCGAGGGGCTTCCCGTGGCCCCTCTGGCCCTGGGCCCAAATCCTTCCACTCCTTCCAGCACTTTCTCCCTCTAAGTTCTAGAAATAGCGGGAATTCCCTGGCGGTCCAGTGGTTAGGACTCCGCGCTTTTACTGCCAAGGGCCCTGGTTCCATCCGTCGCCTGGGAACTAAGATGCCACAAGCCCAGCGGCCAATAAATGAGTAAATAAAGCATACCAGTGTTTGAGACCTGTGTGCCTTCTTTATCCGAACAACTTCAAGCATTGAGTGACGTAGAGCTTTTCATTTGGACATTGGCATTTTATCTACTCGATTAACCCACTCGGGGGGAGGAAGGTCGCTGTCTTCAAACGCCTGAGAGGGGAAGAGCAGCCAAGTGCCAGATTCCACCCGGATGGAGTCGGGCCTGGGAGGCTGGACAGCCCCTCGCTCCCCTGCCCTTCGGGCCAGGCTTGCTGCATTTGGATTCCAGGTCTTCCCCTTACCAGCTGTGCGATCTTGGATAGCTGCCTAGCTTCTCTGTGCTTTGGTTTCTCCATCTGTAAAATGGGAAAGGTAACAGAAGCCACCTCCTAGGGGTTCAATGCATGACTCCTGCAAAGAGCATGGGTTGGGGATGTGCCTGGCACAGAACGAGTGCTGGAAACATGCTGACCAACCTCTGGTTCAAGGCAGCAGATCCGGTGTGGGAAGCAGACTGGGACATGGACATGGCCACCTGTGTGACTGGGGCTGGATGGAGAGAAGCAGGGGGCTGGGGGGAACCCTGCAAAGGAGGTGACTAGTACCTGTGGAAGTGGGTTTTGAGGGATGAGTAGGAGTTCGCCAGCAAAAAAGGGGGTGTAGGGAATATGTGTGTTGGGGTGGGGTGGCTCTCCAGCACCCAAACCCCTTCTTAGTTGGGAGGGATCCCTCTGTGTAGAGTCCCCAGTGGGCAGGGTCCTATTTCCCACTGCAGAAGCTGAAAGGGCCAGACTTTGGTCTGGTCAGGAGGCCACTCCCGCCTGGGACTTTGAAGCTTAATATCTGGGGCAATGGCGACAAGGGAGTCCTGACCATATTGGCCTTGATGGCCAGGCCCCTGTAGCCCCCTTAGCCCCTGAAAGTTCTCTTGTCCACTCTGTAAGCCCTTAGATTGAGCCAAGAAATGCCCCCCTTTACTTATGGTGGACAGAGTCGCTTTGTGTTGCTCGCAGCAAAGAACTCTGTAGGGAAATCCTGGCAGAAAGACCAAGAAGCAAGAAGTGGAAGGGAGCGATTGCATGAGAGATCCTGGCCCCCAGGCCCTGCACCCGAGCCCTGCCCTCCCCCAGGCTTCCCTTATTGAGACCATTGCGATCACACGGGGGCAGGCTGGATGGGGGTCGGCCTCTCCGATCCATTTCACAGCCAACAACGCTGAGCCCTGAGAAAAGTGGTGACTTGCTGAAGGTTGCCCATAGAGGGTTAGATGCTGGCCAGGCTCTGCCCTTGTTCCAGTCAGGGGCTCCAGCACCCCGAGGTGGGCGGGTCCGTCCCCACCTGCCACAGCAGCCTGTGAAATCCTACATTCGCAAGGACAGACCTGGAGACCAAGGTTTAAAAGGCAAGCCCATCTCGGCCACAGCCGTACATCCTAGGGGGACAAGGAGGAAGGAAGCTTTGTTTTAAAGGCAACTGTGAGACGGGGCATGAATTTGGAGCCATGGAATACAGGGACTGAAGCTCGTGATTCACTCTGGGCCTGGCCCAAGGGGCGGCCCAGGAACTGGAGGGACAGGTTCGTTAACTGGGCACCTACCGTGTGCCAGGATCGTGATGGGCCTTGCGCGCTCCAGCATTTCGTGGAAGCCACCTGCTATCCTGTAAGATCAGCATTAGTACCCTCCATGTGCAGAAGAGGACATGAGTCTGAGAGACGCTATGATGTCTTCAAGGTCACATTGCCCGGGGTGACAGAGTTAAGCTCAGGGCCGTCTGACCCACAAGCTGGGGGTGGGAGGCATGGAACAGGGCTTTGAAGGCCAAAAGACACGAGGACGTTTCAGAAAGGTGATCCTCTTGTTATTGTTGTTCTTCATGGAAATCCAGTCGCATCTCTCCCCTGCCTAAAACCCTACCACGACTTCCCTCCCCCCCTGAAGATAAAGTCCAGAGTCTCTGCCATGGCTTTGCGTGATCTGCCCCCAACCCCCGACTCTCTCCGGTGGCACGGAGGCCCCTCCCACCCCAGGGCCTTTACACAGGCTGTTTCCCATCTGCTCTCTGCACTCCTCACCTCTATGATTCCCAGCCCTCCCGCTGCTGCCCCACCCGCTCACTGGGAAGTCTTCTGAGGCTGTGGGCCGCCCGCCAAGACAAGCACCCAGTAAGGGTCCCCCCCCCCGCCTCGTGTGTCTCCTTTTCACCCCACTGAGCACAGATTATAATCCTCTGAGCCATGCATTTTCAAGGGGGGCAAAATTTGGTTCTTGGGGGACTGAAAAAATAGATGTTACAATTACTTGTGGCCCCACACAACAAAATCTTATTCATCAGGATCGTATCTCTCATTAGGGAGAAATTAAATAATTTACTTAACTGTAATTAAGTTTAATTAAATGATTTAATTCAATAAGTCAATGTTTCTCCTTAGGGAATGATAACGGGAAAAAAGTGGGAAATGTTGCCGTAAGCATTTATGAGTTTGCTTATGCTGTCTGATGCCCTCTGAGCTCAAGGAGGGTAGGCCAGGTCTGTCTAGGTCCTGCTACAGCTCTAGTTCTAGAAGGCTGCTGGCACACAGTAGGTGCTCAGGTAGCACCTTCCATGTGCCAAGCCCTGCAGAGAATAATCCGGACAAGGCTCTGCCATAGAAAGGTGGTGCTGGGCCTCCCCTCCCTGGATTCTGTGGGCAGTAGGGAGCCATGGAGGGTTTGGAAGCCAGGAAAGGAGAACTTCTTGGGCTGGTGCATCCCCAACCAGAGCTGACAGCTGCTGCCGCATCCCAAGCCCCTCCCCACCCAAGTCCCCGCCACCAGGCCAGCCCAGGACAGAAATAGAGCAGCCCACGTCTTCTGCAAGGCTGGAGGGGGTGGATGCAGCTAAACCCGGCTCGGCAGGTGGCTCACGCAGGGTGGGAGTTGGGGGTAGGGCAGGATTCCTGGGTTACTGGCTCACTGTCTGGTGGGCCTCAGGCAAGCCTGGACCCTCCCAGAGGCTTTGTGGCCTCCAGGAGAGCCTGACTGCCCTGGGCCTGAGGATGAACCAGCGACACTAAAGATAGCACAGCTGACTTATATATAGACCCTCCCACCTGGTTTCCAAAAGGATTCAAAACGGCTTTCACAAGAGGCAAAGAAATGAACATTTAGAGCGTGCCAGAGTTTACACATGAGGCTCGCACGTCACAGCCTCGGGGAGTAGAACCAGGACAAGAAGAATCTCAGATCCCTCCAAGAAGCACGTCTGAATGAGAATGAGCTCCCCATCAGAGGCGGTGTGCAAGCAGAGGCCTCAGCCCCTGGCAGCGGTGTGAGTGGGGAGGGATCCCTGCACCGGACAGAGGCTTGGCCAGATGCTAAGCTGGGAGAGAAGATGGCATCAGCCCCGCTTTCTCAGCCACTGCCCCTGGCCACAAAGCAGTCAGGGATGCAGCCGGAGGTAGGGTTGGTGGTAGGAGCCGGGTGCTGGCCCCTTCCCCTTTTCCTGAGCCAGAGTCATCCCCACGGACTTAAAAACTGGAGCAAGGGTGGGGGGATGGGCGGGTAAACCTTACCGCTCCTGGGACTGCTGTGCTGACATCCGCAGTGACGCAGGCAGCCCTGCCTGCCTCAGACCCCGACGTGGTCCCAGCTTTGGTACTGCTCGCTGTGTGGTCTTGAGCTCATCGCTTCCCTTCTCTGACGCAGAGTCCCCGTTCAATACAACCAGGGGGTTGCCTCGGTCCTAGAGAGCCCTCCTGGGATCCACAGCCCCAAATAAATAGAACTGCAGTGCCCACCCCCACCCCCAGCCCAAGCCTTCGCACAGATCTGGCAGGGCCCTGCTCTCTGGGCCCCATTGCATTGGTTCTGGGATCGTTCTTGGGGCCGGAGGGCACCTTCCCTGCACTTGCCCTGTTTCCTCTGTCATTGCCTGACCCTCGTCCATGCCAGGCTCTGAGCAAGACAGACCCATCTCAGCCCTAGAAGAGCTCCCAGTCTAGTGAGGGAGCTGGCCAGCAGACAAGAGTGTGAATAAATAGGTTGAGGAAAACCCAGCAGGGCAAAGGGACAGAGAGACAGGGTGGTCAGGGAGGCCTCACTGAGCAGATGGCATCTCTGAGGAGGTGAGCAGAGGTGTCCTGAGCCAGCCAGGAGGATGGCTTGGGGGAGCCCGCTCTGGGCAGTAGAGGACAGCTAGTGCAAAGGACCTGAGGCAGGTGAGCGCGGCATGGCTGCAGAACAGGGAGCAAGGGAGAGTACGGGCGGGGGCGTGGGGGGAGGGCTGGCTGGTGGGGGCCATGGGGAGGCTTGGACAGAGGGAGGCCGGAGCTACAGCAGGGCTCTGAGGAGAGGGGAGGCCGAGCTGGTGTCTAACAAGCAAAGCCGCCTTTCCTGGCCTCCAGAAGGGAGTTCGCCAAATTCTCCCTCAGAGGCCACCTCCTGCTCTCAACCAGGCCCAGACGCTGTATTTTATATTAATTTATTTATTTTTATTTATTTATTTATTTATTTTTTGTGGTATGTGGGCCTCTCCCGTTGCAGAGCACAGGCTCCGGATGCGCAGGCTCAGCGGCCATGGCTCACGGGCCCAGACGCTCTGCGGCATGTGGGATCTTCCCAGACCGGGGCACGAACCCATGTCCCCTGCATCGGCAGGCGGACTCTCAACCACTGCGCCACCAGGGAAGCCCCTAGACGC